TTAAATACTACAATATGGTTGCCCCTGAAAAGGAAGCCACTCACCTACGTTGGGACTGATGTCCCAACACTGATATTCTGTGGCCCCTTTAGAGGCAGAGATAACGCAAGCGCGGTTGTTTTAAATTTTTCTATTATTTAATTTATACACGATCACTTATACATTGAAATTATAATAAACTCTAGCCTGTGAAACGCATGCGTGCTGTGTATCATAAAAAAAAACAATATTATTACATTTCTTTCTTTAATTACATTTGTTTGACTTGCGCATCATTTGTATTACTAAAAGCGAAGATAAAACACTCAACTGGAGTCAACTTAATATTCCCGTCACAGTGATATCGAAGCAAAAACAGTGTTTAATTGTCAGTTAAGAAATGAGAAGTGGGCTAAGTGGAAGAATGTTAGAGTGCGTACAGACAAGCTATTGCACTTAGCCAGCTCGCAAATATGCAAATTCATGCCTTACCCGCCTGTGTGCGCCTGCCGTATGCATAGATTGGACAGGGAAACGCGTGGAGTAGATTAATTATAATCTAATTTTTATTCTTCTCTTTTTTATTAATTTAGAAATGATAATTTCTTATAAGATCAAATCGAGCATTGAATCCATGCGGGAATCTGGCAATACATATATTATTTTTTATTTGTGTTGCCAAAAATGTTAATGTGGTCAAATCAAAAAATAAAACACTAGAAGTATTTATTAGTGATTTGAAGGATAGTATCTTGAAATACATATGTACATTAAAATAAACCACTTTAAAGGCTTAAAACGTGGTGAAATTAGTTACTTTAAAATTATTTTAACTATGGCCCGACATTATGGATGCTTTGTAGCAGTCGTGCTAACAAGGAAGCGTATTACTTAACCCGCGTACACTACAAACAGTATATGTTTATTAATTATGATAACGTTCTTCGCTGTTTTTCATTTGTTGTCTTTAATGACAGTGACTAATAAAGTAACATTTTAGATCATAGAAATATGTAAAAATATACTTACAACAACTTACTACTAGTACAAAAAGATTAGCCACATGATGAATATTTGAAATATATGTTGAATTTTAGGTAGAAATTTATTTATTAATTATATGTAATTTGGAAAAAATAAGTAAAATAAGAGAAGCAAAAATAGTAGAGGTAAAACTAGACAGAATTATAAATAAATTGCAAATAAAACAAAACACGTCTCCATTGACTTGTCTGTTTCAAGGCCGGGATCGTAAGAAGAGGGTGGTTAATGAATAAAAAAAATTCTCGTTTTTTTCATAGCACAGTGATTAGTTACCCCTATAATGAGTGGTGTGTGTGTGCGTTCATTTTGGGGTGAGTAAATTTCATATGACAGTTGATAAGGGATGCTCTATCGATTTTGCATTTTGAAACGAGTAAGAATTTTTTCTAATTTTCATTCGGATTAGAACGGTTTGATTATTTGTCTATGCTGTTTATAGATTGTATATTTTAGAAAAAAATATCTACGTATATAATTTGATCCGATGTTAACATCGCTCTAGATAATATTATCTTTTAATGCAATTAAAATTAAAGTACTTAAGATTGAAATAAACTCTTTATTATTGACCTCTATTCAATGAAATAAAATATTACTCACGAAAGTCTTTTTAAACTCTTGAGAAATATACAAAGGAAAGGGGCTTTAAAAAGTTAATATATCCAGGTTTTCATCCAATATCATTTTATTTTGATCTTAATTTTTAAGCTAAAAGTAAGGAGGGTTTTCTTTAATTTACTTAATCTTGGTCACATTAATTGTTTAGTATAATTTTAATTAATATTTAGTAAGCGGTTGAACGTGAACATTTTAAACTAGTTTCAGAAGTTATTAAATTCCCCGAAAAAACAATAAAAAAACAAATTGCAAGTCAAGATTTCAAACGTCAGGATCTGACCAAAAAATATACGATCCCTCGAAAAGGTATCTCATTGCATTATATTATTTTCTCTTAACGAAACTGAATATTGAAAGTTTTAAAGATACTCAAGTATCTTTGCATGAAAAGTAGTCAGATAAAGAAAGCGCCTTTAAATCTTTACAATATATCAAAAATAAGACATCGCAAATTCGTTCGTTTTAATAAAAATCTGTGTACAAAAATGAATATGCAAAACGGGAAAGTTAATTAGCGTCTCGGAATGGGCTTCATATGAAAAATCGTAAAAAACCCACCCCATTTTCCGCAATTTTGTGTAACATAGCCGCAAACGGCGTGTCAAGGTGAGCCCCGCCGAAATCGGGTATCACATACATATAAAAAAATAAGAGTATTGCCTGAAGAAACGTCTTAGCCTCCCTCACGCGTCCACTCCTTGTAGGCCTGTTGAATAATATTATGAAGCTCCGTGCTTTGAGGGATTTCTAAGCGTCGCAGGGGGCTCGGGAGGTCAGCCTTCACCGGTTGGCATTCAAGTAGGGATGTAAGAGTGACTCAAGTTAAATTAAGAATGTGGAGCTCGTATTTTTTACTTTTTTCACTTTGTTTGTTGACGGAGACTTCATCTGACATTGTGGACTTTGTGTACGCGTCCTTAATTCTTGAGGCGTTCGTGTATAACCACCCTGAGTATATGCTGTTTTCTGGTGTATTAAGGGATTTTTCGAAGGTGTGCTTTATGGATTACGTCTTTGAAGTCCGTGATTAAGGATACGTTTTGTTTGCTTTGTACGGGGGATGCTTGGGTGCCTGTAGAACTTAGCGGCACAATGCCAGTGGGTTCCGCCTCACCAGTTTCATACCTTTGAAGTTCAAATTTCATAAATATTAGTAAATAATAAACAACGCTATAATATACCCTATCTAAGTAAAGTCGCAAATTTCTTTTCATTTATAGAGAAAAAAGATACACTACGCTTATAAAGGGACCTATTTTATGCTTCGTGGTACCTAGATGGGTATTTATCCATGTATAGTAATATAATAAAGCTGAATAGTTTATTTGTTTGTACGCGCTAATCTTAGGAATTACTGCTTTGAATGAAATTTTCTAGCTTTTAGGGATTGGATTCCGTTACTTGCGATTTCAAAGCGGTTCAAGAGATCAAAAAACGGGTATAAAAGAATGATTTCTCTTTAAATGATCTAAAAAATGTCCGCGACATTATGTCTATCTTTTAAGATTACCTCGCAAGAACGACGACACGCGGACGACGCCGTAAGTAACATATATAATTTTAAAATAAAATTCATGCCCAAACCTATTCCACGCGGACGAAGTCGCGGACGCAGTTTGCATATGAGATGATGTTAGCATATCAAAGTAGGCTCCTTTGGACTAACTAGTAATTGACAGTTATTGGGTGGGCCTGGGCAAACGCTTTTAATAGTCTAAAACTAAGCCTGTCTTGCTCCAGATATACTTCAAACGTTATATTCGTATCGAATGCCGAACCGATCACAAATTCCGAGAAAACAAATCGCATTTGACCATAAAAACGTCAAATTAATTAGAGAAGTACCGCTTATTTTATTTGCTGTGTAATTATACATCGTGTGTACATAGCAATAGAGGTAGTGTTCGGTTGCATTGCTTTTTTTGTTATTTTTTGGAGCGTGTACTAACGGTTTTCAGAAAAAATGGCGACGCAGTTCGCGTACGGTGACAATTATAAGGTTTTTTTTTACGTTGATTATGTAGTAAATGAACATTTTAATTATTTACTTGCTTGGAAGTTTTACATTTTAAAAACAAAAAACAAATCTATATTTTACCTCTACAGAATCATTTTCACTGATGGGTTTTCTTTACACGCAAACAGTTGACGTCTGGGCTCTGCCCGACCGAAACAATCTACCGTTTCCCCAGATCCCAGGATCCCCAGGATTCGAATCCGAGACTTCAAGTGCTTTATGCAGTGCTAGGCAACACGTTTAACCGTTTACCTAGATACGGGTCGATGGCCTAAATTCGCTATTCGTTATTCGCGGGGACGAATCCTTAAAAAATATCTTAATATATGTGTATAAATTAAAATGTACATTTACTTATGAAACTTACAATGTTTCAGACCCAGATATTACTTTTGTAAAATTAGAAAATATCAAAAATTCGTTATATTAAATATGTTACTTACAAATTAAATTTGAAAATCTAAGTATCGCCACTTTCTCACACGCTTCCAACTTTCGGAAATTGTTTAAAAGGAAAAAGTCCCCACACGTTGTTGCGATTGTTGTTAAAATGTGAAAAATTTGCTGGAAAACTCTCAGTCGCCGGAACTTTCATATCCTCGCTTTGATAAAGTGACGTCAGAGTGAAAATATTGCCAGTGATTTATTAATATTGCAATGGTGTGCATTAATAATATTTCTTAAATACACACACACACACTAAATACTGTCACGGTAAAGGGTTTAAAACACGAAATACTAATTATATTAGTTAAACTTGGTACCTACCCGAGATCACGGCCGCTGCGAAGCATCCGAAACGTTGGGCCTTAATTGAAAATAATATACACATAACAAGTTTAACTAATATATTTCACGTTTTAAATCGTTAGTGTTTTATTTAAATATTTTAATTAAATGACACACTATTTTAATAAGTAATCCTGTGTTGCTATTTCTATATTGAATTACGAATTATTATAGTATTAACTATATGAAGGAACTTATTTTGAATTGTGTTTTAATATTTTGAAATTTTTTTTTTTTAATATTAAGCATGTTAGCATTGATATGAGCAGTTTAGTTTGTATTTTTCCGAAATAGGTAATGAGTTGTTAATAATTACATCTAAAATCGAGCTTTTAATTTTTTAGTAGTTATAACTACTTTATTAGGGTTCCCTGCCTCTCAATTCAACAATTTCTAAGGATTTAAGATAGCTAAGGATAGGAAAAAGATGAAAAATGATTTCATATCTCCTCACACTCCACGTTCCAACGGATACACTTACCACAACACCTTGCAATTATTCTCGTGTGAAGCTGACCAAAGCGTAAAATCTGAATGCAGAACGATACTTTTTTTACAGCTGATTAGCTGAAAGTGCCGACCGTCGACCGCAAATTTCCTTTTCTTCCGGCCAGATTGCAGGCACCACGCTCCAATCCACACACCTGCCTCTCCATTGTGGTCGTACGAATGTGGTGACCTCCTCAATTGCTCGTGTTTTTGAGTCGAAGGACACTGACCTCATTTCTCGCTTGGATGGCGAAAAGAGAGGGCATAACATCTTACCAAAAATTACGCGATTGATACACATTCAATAAACATGGCTTCTGTATAGAATGTAAGTAGCAGTTCGTAATAAATACGTAACACGTCTCGGTTTAAACTGTCAAAAGTGACGTCTGTGCTATATATTGTGCTAAATTTTGTAGGGATTAAATTATGTATTTGTAATATTAATGACAAGAAAACAGTTGAAATACGACAAATAATTAAATGAGGGCAGTTCTGACTACGTCTTATGACAACTGGTGAATCTCTTTAAGTTGGGGAAACATCTGGCCATAGTTAAAATAAATTGTAAATTGAAACAATCTTCGAATACGTTAAACTCCAACATATCTCTAATTACACAAAACACCTACTTACATCGTAGTTTTAGCATGGATTTTCAACTAGATATAAATTTTTTATCTATCCGTTATGGATAATTTTACTCTAAGTCATATTTTGTTCTTATTAAATTAATTTATCTGATTCTAACACGTTACGCTTAATTGACAATGATGACCCATTAAAAGGCAAACTGTGTTAAAACGGAAGTCACCACATAAAGTAGATAAGAAATAATATCTTATCGAGTCAATTAATCAAGAGTACGTGTGCTATTTAGTACTATTTAATAGTTAATTGGCTCTGAAAATAACTTAGCCTAATACGTGACTTGGTTTCTCACTTGCCACCGGATTACCATCACAGTCTATTTGTAGTTTAAATGTTTGAAGGTTTCGAAGGAAATAACGAATTTAAACACCGCTGACGGACAGAGAGCATCGCAAAATTTCTTACTCATATATTAATTTAATGTCTAATAAATGTCTAATGTCCTTTCTTTATCAACAGTATTTGTGTTTTGATAAAGAAAGGTCGATCCCCACTAGGTCCAACATTTTTTTAATGAATTTATCATTTTTGAAACGTGTTGAACTTCGCCTGGAATCTGGCTGTTAAATACGCTTTATATTCCTAATATTAAAAACTACCGTCAACAGATGAAGTTTAATCTTGTTTCTGTTGTAGTCTTGGATTTCCGAAAATCCAAAGTCAAAATGGGTCGGTTGCGCATCTTGTTTAGATGTTATATGCTTGGGGTATTTGACCTCAAGTGAACTCCAGGCTTTTCTGTCGTTATCTATCTAAAAAAAACAATCGCGTTTCGATTTCAGTCTGTGGACTTCGCAATGTCCCAAGCCGACAAATGCGTATCAAAGGCAGATCTCAAATACTAGGACTTACTACACTCTTTGTCTGTTCTCTCCAGTCATATAAATCTGTACAAATATCAGGAACTTTTGAGGAAATTGATTTTGTGTTGATAAGAACATTTAACAATTAACAATTTTAAGTTTGTTAGTTAGTAGTTGTAGTTAGTCTCTCCTACTCGTTGTATGTACTTTCACTGTGTACCTTGATATTCTTTGTTATTCCTTACACCTACCCACGAAATTTTTTATTTTATTTTTTTCCTGTACTTCAGGTTGCCTGGAAGAGATCGCTGCCTAGCGATAAGCCCGCCTTTTATTTATAAGTTGGCACATAAGATTTTTCCTCATTTATGTGTATTATCTGTGGTGTGTTTTATATATAATACAGCAATAATAAATAAATAAAATAAAAAACATTAATCGAGGTTGGCTATATACTATAAAACATCGCGTTATGACTAAGAAGAGCAAAGAAGCAGCGGGAAACGTGAAAAAAATATTCATCCTTGCGGGTTTCCATTGCGTACGCTGCGAAAGCGATTCAAGATACAAAAAAAATGTATGATGGAATGATTCCCCTTTAAATGATCAAAAAAAAAGTTCACGGCGCTATATATCTATCTCTTAAGATTTACTTGCAAGAACGACGGGAAGGGACGAGATCGACGTCGTGGGTAAAAACGAATGTGATGCCCGAAATAACTAATCCACGCGGACGAAGTCGTTGACACAGCTAGCTTATAAAATGAGAAGCATAGATTACGTAAGAAACCTGATATAATCCTTTCCGCAAATTATGCATATTGTTAAGGCCCTTTCATTTCGAATACAGCGCTCGCGTGTCTCACATCGTAAAATCATAATAGGTTTCAACAAAACGTATCTCGCGAACATAAATCATTGGAATAAGAACCCTTCCACATTTGTCCTTAATTAATAACCAAATGAAATGCTCGGCTTCGCTCGTATACCGTTTAACACACGCGACGATTTTTACTTAAAATTAATCGAAATACAAAAAAGTCACAAATTATAAACTAGCTTATTGATCTACACATGAGGGCGGTACAGGCAGAGTAGCCTAACTGATTTTTTTTATAAATTATTCATATTTTCATATACTAGAAATGTCACAAGAGCACAGTGGCCTAAATTTGTTGACTTAATTGTTACACAAATAATAGTACAAATTCATTTTTGTCTAAGTTAATTGTTTATTTTTCTCCTTATTGAAAATCATGTTTTTTATTAATAGGCCACTCTGCCTCTAATAGTCTTTGATTTCTTGATTTATACTTAGATCGGTTTTATAGGATATACCTACATCTATAATAAAAGAAATGATCTATGAAACTACGGGTATTTACTTGTACCTACTTATGTTTGAAAATTAAATTTTTTTCGACTTTTTTAGGTATCGCAGAAAGAATAACGTTTATCTCAAGAGAAAGCTTTTTTAATCTTCTAAAGTTTCGTAATTTGAAATCGATCCAGTACTTACTTATGTTATATTATTAGCCTAAAGTACTATTCGGTGTGTATATAGGACATAAGTATCAAGATAAGATAGTGCTTAGACGGGTATTAGTAATTAGATTAGAGCTGAAGATGCAGCCAGGTCATACGTACCCATCGTTCGTCACGCGGCAAAATTACTTTAGAGAACACGACTGAACGTTGCAAGACGAAGGATTAGGGTTCCGTGGTAAAGAAAAAGTACTTTTGTTTATATTGACACTTATTTAATTTATTACACAGACATAAAACTATATATACAACTGAAAATATATTTTTTAATTGTTACTAACCCAACTAACGCACATTAGAATTAATTAATTATGTATTATTTTAAAATAATGTATGGATCTATGGTCTGACAAATAAATTATTATTATTATTATTATTATTATATTTATTGAAAATAGAGTCTAACGTGCGGTATTATTGCCGCAATAAACGAGATGTATACGATAAATACTGGCTGAGAATAAAAAAAATAGATATACTTCAAGGTATATTTATCTAAATTCATATAATCTGTTATATGAACCGTCTGGCATATAGACAAGAGCTTCGTTTTATTTCATTTAACTGTAGTGTCTATCTGTAGCTATCTTCAGAATTAAGAAAATGAGATTCTAACACAATTGGATAATTAAATATAGATATTGCTGAGAAAGGTAACATAACACAATCAAATGCTTTTCCTCAAGATATTTAAAAACTACAGGTCCGCGGAACCCACACTAAATAACGGCACACACTTGTCGATTTTTTCCCGTAGCTTAATTTAGCCGATGGATTGTTATTGGTTAAATTATTCACAGGGCGTTCGATGGCTTTAAGTGAATTTTGCGATCGGCCATCGGTTTTTCTATCGCTCTTATAAATTAAGTCACATTTTCAAATAAAAATAGGCATACAGCATCATGTGAAATTCAATGGAAAATGAGTCTTTTTCAATGAAAAAGACTAATTCAATACTGTCTGTAGTGTACGCGTGTACACATTTAAATAAAACTCATAAAACGGTTTTAAAAACGATATATAGTAGTTTCCCGCGACACAGCTGCTGCAAAGCATCCGAAACGTCGGGCCGTAGTAAAGATAATTTTCTGATAAGATCTATTAATATATTACGTTTTAAACCGTAAAAGTGTTTTATTTAAAAGGCTAATTCAATCTTTGAAGTACTAACAAATTGAGAGTCTGTATAAATTAACGGTACTTAAATATAAGTTCAGACATTACTTATAACGTACGTACACCAAACTTTTCGTATAAACTTACAAATATCCCATAACAATGCCTATAAGAAGAATCTAGATTTCTGTTCTCTTTTTGCAATAATGCAATATTATTGCAAAAAAATAACAAAAATTTTGACAGTTCCCAACAGCACCCTTTTTTTATATAAGCGCATATAGAAATACTTAAGTCTTGAATAACGATAATTATTTTAAAACAGTAACACGCACCATTCAATTTGTGTTTTAGATTTTAATTATAGCTTTAGTACGCAATCTAGCGCCACTACCGACATTTACGTGTTAAATATGTTTCCGTTTATAATAAACGTTGATAATTGGACAGTAGACCCAATAAATAATAGTTGGTATTACACAATAACGTGTCTAGACGCGAGTACAATTATTATATTGTATTATTATTACTTCTAATGGGGACTATGGAAGCAAGTCCTATATTTGACAGAGTAGTTGACCGCCTGTGTAGTTAAATTATTAAACATGTTGACAAGCATTGCGATAAGCGTGAGAGGTCCTGGGTTCGAATCCCGGGGAAACAGTAAATTGTTTCAGTCGGGGCAGGGCACAGAAGTCTGATCAACTACTTGTCTGTAAATAAAGCCGATCAGTGAAACGGATGCAAAATGTGTTCGCCCTATGTCCCACGACGTGAAACAGGATTTATATAAAAGTGCATATTATACACAAGTATAATATGTTAGGTAGGTATTGTTACAAGGCAAACCAATGGTTTTTTTAGTGACATCGTCTGTCATTATTAAAATTGAGATAGTCTTATCTATGGAATTATTAAATTGAACCTCTCGAACAACTTAATTCTTTTATTATTGTAATGCTACGTTGTTTCAATGTTTACCAGCCTGATTTCTAAATCGCCAATAATCACGTATGTCAGAAACAATAGCCCGATTAGTTCTCGAACTACCGAACTAAAAGGCAAAAAGTTGCCACTACGTGACGCCGTATTGTCAAAATTACAAATCACCTTTTGAGTAGTTATTGCACTCGCTCCGATAGCTTTTTGCTTTGTT